TTTGGGGAATCGATAGAGGAGGTTACTAGTAACTTAACTATCCAAATTTGAAGCTTTAGCTCTTTTACTTTAAGGGATATAAACTTTTGCTGTTTGCCATGCCCCCAATAGGCGGACATATATCCGCCCAAGCATTTTCGTCTTGGGAGGTCAGACCGAATATATATACAAAATTTCAGGTCTCTTGCATCAATAGTCTCCAAAACATAGCACAATTTGAAAAATCGCTATATCTTCAGGTCAGATTTGCCAGATTTCATTAATCTTTATAGAATCATAACATTAGCTCACGTGCAAAGTTTTAACGTTCTAGCTCAAAAACTCTAGGAGATACAGTTTTATCCGATTTGCCACGCCACCAACGGGCGTAGATATAGCCCCATAGCTCGGGATCTTGGGTGGTCTTTATTTCAAATTTCAGCTTTCTAGCTTTTCAACTAATATTATTTCTTTCATATCGGAATATGCATTTTCCGATTTGGCACGCCCCTAGTGAGTGGATTAGGAAAATTTTAACACTTTAAAAATCGGAGATATACACGAGCATGTGTTTCAAATTTCAAGTCTTTAAGTTCAATAGCGCCGAAAAAAATGCGTTCATGTGGACAGACGGACGGACAAGACGGACATTGCACAAAACCAATATACTAATGTACTTTCGTAAATGAGTATAATAATTCACTTTCGTGAATGACTATAAATATACAGCACTTTTAGGATAATTAGGAATATTATTTTCTGTACAAAATTTTCAAAAATTTGATTTAATGATTCTGAGATGAATTTAGCGAGACAGGAAAATTGGGAAATAGAAAAGCCTGAGCAGTGTTGTCCCAGTCCCAATTTGAAGTGGGTTCCATTTTACCTTTTCCTTTATATGCAGTGGCTCCGTCGAGGCCATCTGAGCAGTGTCCATATCGTTTCTCTTGCGCACCTACAATACACACACACCCATAGCTTACTTAGTTGTACTTCAAAGAAGTTCTCGACTGCACTTACATAATCTGTGCCGCTGGCATTAGAGGCAGCCACCGTCATTTGTGTTACATTTCCGTGCATATACTCGTTCTTAGCCGGAGGCAAAGTGGCATTTGCCGAAGAGTTTATGTTGCCAACTGCGGCTGTATCTACTTTTTCCCAGTCGTACGGATCAGCTTCCTTAACCCCACGTCGCTTCATACACCGCTCGAATAGACCAATTAACATCTGGCAATTTAAATGTATAAATATAAGAGGACATCGATATCTATATAGTTATAGTATCATAGATATAGTGTAATATAATGTAATATATAATATATATAAACAAGTAAGAAAACTCTAGTTTAATGTAAATTTCAACAAAAATCGAAATAGTATAAATTGCTTCTTAATATACATTTTAAATTGGGAGACTCTACCTCTAAGGATGTGGGAGTTATAATTTTATAACTTATTTTCGATAAGGTTATTATCAATAAAAATATCGGAATGAGTTATCGTTTTTTAGTGATAAACTCGATATGCGCACGATA